ATCCAGCCTGATCCAGAAGTGAGAACACTACAGGAGTCTTTTACACCGCCCACCAGGACTACTAATCCTTCTGCTGGTGGCTGTTGGCCTCCTGGTGTGGTCCACCAGCTGGACCCCCACAGTTGACATGATCCTGCAGTTTCTGCAGTCCCAGCTGGAGGTGATAAATGTGCAGTTACCCTGCGAGGCATGGTGGCAGCAATCAAGGCTGTTCTCTTGGGTCATTTAGCACTTAATGAGGCCGACTCCTCCTTAATTTCCCAGTTTCAGATGGACACCCAGTGACTTACAAGTAGAAGGACTGGAATATTTAACAGTCAGCCAAGCAGACTAATTCATTGCAATAAATAACTCAATTGCGCCCTCTGTTGAATACCAGCTCTAAACACAACCCAGTGTTTATATTGGAGAGGTGTTTTTGCATGAGAAAGATGGAGAATGACAAGGCTCTGACTGTCTGAAGTTACACAAAGATCTGGTTTTGGGGGCAGAGAGAGTGACAGATTCTCTTGAGATTTCTTATTTCAAATATAATTACACTGTTGCAGTGACATGATGTAACCCAGGGACAGTTACCCTAGAAACAGTACAACAGTAAATTATTTCATTTTTCTTTTTAATGAAAATTATTAACCTATGCCCATAAATGTGAAAGAGAGATCTATATGTGCATGCAGCTAAATTTGTGCAGGTCCACCACGACAAACAGTCACGTGTTAGAGAGCACAGCTCATGCAGTGAAAACCTTGTGCGCTGTCCATGGTGCTGAAATTGTAACAGTTTAATAAATTTAATATTTCACTATTTCTGGACGTGTGCAATAAGATGTGTGTGCAAGATTTGATATTAATCTGATACCAAGTAAAATACAAGGCCTGTATCACTGATACTGATACCAGTACCAATACTTTTTAATTATTAACTACACCATCAGATTGCTAATTCTGAATGAAGGAGTTTTCATGACCATTAAGTTTTTTCTTTTGTCCTTTGGATTATTAATTAGTTAAAAACTGGGACCGAAATAAAAAACAATAATCTAGCACATCTAATAGTATTTTAACTACAGTAATCATACAGTATCCTTTTCACATTTAGCACAACAGGGTAATTATATTGAATTAAATCTGAGCCATACTATGTTTCAATTCCTGTAATTGTTTTCATTTAAATGTTTCAGTTAGATAAATGTATTATATCAAGGTTTTAGCATAAATGACACTTTATGAGTAAGAATCAGTCAGTTCCACTTTGAAAATTAAAATAATATAACTGAAATATTACTATTACCACAGTTATCTACATAGATATTCTCTGCTTACTGCGTTGCTGGATGGTCCTGGTTAGCTGAGCACGTTTGCTTACTTGTTTTACTGGCACTGCTGAGTCAGGTGACAGTAAAAAATAAAACACAAGAGAGGAGAAGCAAACTGTGGCTGCTCTGTGACACCTGAAAGCAGCAGCATTTACACAGACAGCCAGGTTGCCTCTTTGATGAAACTGCAGCGGTGCACACAGGAGAACAGAAACTGAAGTATCAAGCTCATTACACTCGTATTGATCAACATTGATCACTATGACATCCATCCAGGGCCTGATTATTTTCATGATAGGGTCCAAAGTCAATATCATTCCTCTGTTCTGTCTGTTCTTCAGTCATATCAACATCTTCTCACTCCTTACAATAAATTATAAATGGATTAATGTCTCCCTCTATTGGCCACCAGCTGTAAGCACAGTCCAGTGATTGGACTTGGAAGCTGTGTTCAGAGTTTGACATGGGAAATATGGGACAAGGAGCTATAACTTTATATCCACACTGACACTTAAAGCCCATCACAGGACCTACCTTGAACACTGATGTCTCTCTGATGTGGAGACTAGATGACTTCAAATGTTCTGTTCGCAAGATTTCGGGGAGCAATGAAGTGAAAACAGAATAACTAAATGAACATATCATAAATAATGATAAGAACAGCTGTTAGGAAGCTGGAGTTCATGGAGGAAACCCACACAGATGCAAACTCAAATGAATGTGCATCTAAAAAGTAAAATATGAGAACTTACATTAAACAACGACTTGATGGTTCTTTGATAATAAATAAATAGCTTCAAATGTTCGAGTAACACATGTAGCAGTAAAGTGAACACAGAAGCACTAAATGAACAGATCATAAATCAACAATCAGGAAAACAGCTGCTCATGAAATTCCCGCTGTGCTCCTTGTCTGAACTCCTTGTTTCCTCTCTGCTGTGTGAAGCTTGATGAGAACATGAATCAATCATAAATCTGCTGAAAGGAAGACTTGTGGCTCAAACCACAGGCTGTGTTTCCTCTTCTCTATGTGGCTCAGTCAGAAATCACGAGCTCCTTTAATTTCAGTGCATAAAAAAGTCATGAAGCAGAAGAGAAAGTTAGAAACTATATTTTAAGTAGTTTAAAAGCGATTTGATTTTATGTGTCACACACAGAGTTATCATGGTCTTGCTGAACATGTGATTGACACTGTCAAAATGAATCAGTATTACATGAAAGTACAGGCCGAACCACATCGAGAAAACTGGAAAAACTGCTACACAGTAAAAAGGCTGCTGAGCATCATCAGAGCAGTTGTTACTTCCCATCATGTTTATAGCTTTAGTTCATTTTGGAGGGTTTGAAGCTGTTTGAAATGACAATGAGTGTCTTTAAATAAAAGCTCTCTTTCAGTGGATTCACAACACTGAACAGCTGTAACATGTACTCTCAGTCTGACACACAACAACAACACACTTTATTTATGTCACACTTTTATTAACAAAGTTGTAAAGTGCTTCACAGAAAGACATTTATAATATATTACAAATAAAATAAACAATTAAAAAGATTTCAAAAAAGATCTACAGTACATTAAAGTAAATAAAAATTATTATCTAAGGGGAGAGAAACAAGTGAAACACACTAAACGATTCTTTCTGAAGGAAATATAAACTCAGGCATCAGGATCATTGCTTTGAATTCAAAATCTTCTCCTTTTCACTCAAAGTGACTTCAAGTATTTAAGAGACTTTAAAGAGAAAAAACAGCTAAAGAGCTGCTGTGAAGACTTTAGAGCTGTGGCTGAATTTGGATTTTGTCACAATCTGTGGCTGCAGACTCTGTGGCTCTTTGTAAGGACCCAAATGCAGACAACGAGAGGCAAAATCAAAATTTTAACAAAAAAACGTTTTTCATGGCCAACAAACATGAACCAAATCAGGTTAACCAAAAATAAATAAAGAAAAAAAACTAAGCTGGGAAAGCTAAAACTTAAACTAACAGAAAATGTGGAACACTGGGAATACCTTGAAACACCTTGGAAGGATTGAGAGATGATCAGTGAAGTGGAAACACATTGGAAAACAGCTCTGATGAATTGAATATAACGAGACAGGGAAGCCAAACCAAACACATGCTGTCAAACTTAAACAGGAAGTACACGAACGCACGAGCTTGAAGCAGAAACGGGGATAAACAAACAGAGAGACAAAACACACTGACACTACTAAGACACACGGAGGGCGAGTGAGCAGAGACATGGATGACACAACAGACTCTCACAAGCGACACAGGGATGAGACAAACACACAAGTGGAACCTCGCAGACAACAAACCATAAACTGGAAATCAAGAAAACTCAGAAACATAGAAAGAACTAAACTCCTGTTTAAACTGTATAAACTTAAACCTAGACCATCTTCACACTTTCACAGAGAGACTCACAAAAGCAAAATAACCTCAGAATCTTTGGTCAACGACCCAGCACCCTGACAGATTGACATTATTGTAGTCAGAGCTCTCCTCTGTGTCACCACGTCGCCCTGTTGAGGTGATCAAATTAAAGCATTTCAAAACAAACACCTTCTGTTCTCTGCTTAAATGCATTTATTATCAGTGAGAATAATTACCAATGTACATTTTGCATTTTAAATCTCACATTTTGTGCACTCACTTGTCTTGTTAATGACTTTGAGCTGAATCACAGATGCGACATTGGCAGCAATGAAATAATAATCTTACTGATGTTAATGTTCCCTTCCGTGAATCTCTAAATTATTATCTTGGAGGGGTTTGTGTGTCCCATGGATCCCAGGGGCTGTGTTGTTGTTGGAGGAGGAGGAGGGTGCCTCCTGGTAGGGTCTCCCATGGCAAATTTTATCCGGTCCCTCACCCAGGACCAGACAAAGAATAATAAAAAAAAACCTGAATGAAAGGAAAAGTTCACTCTGCCCTTGAAAGGGTTAATGGGGTCCCACTATGAAGCAAGGCCTGGGAGAGTGCCTAAGAGCAAGCACCTGGTGGCCAGACATTGGTCCATGGGGCCCGGCTGGGCATAGCCCAAAAAAAAGGACATAGGTCCACCCTCCTATAGGCCCACCACTCGCAGGAGGAGAGGGGAGTAGATTGGTGCTACGTCCACTGTACCGGTACGTCAAGATGAAGAGAGAACTGACCGTAAAAGTGAAGCTCTCAGTTTACATCTCTACCCTCACTTATGGTCACAAGCTCTGGGTTAGTGACCCCAAAGAACGAGATCGTGGATATAAGCAGTGGAATAAGCTTACTTCAAAGTTTGTCTTGCTTCTTCTTTAGAGATAGCGTTAGGTGTTTGGCCATGTGGGAGGGGCTCAGAGTAGAACCACATTTGAGGTGGTTCAGGCATCTGACAAGGATGCCTCATGTGTGATGTTTTTCAGGCATGTCCCACTGTGAGGAGACCCTGGGGCAAAACAAGGAAATGCTGAAGAGATTATATCTCTCGGCTGGTGTGGGAAGCCTTGGTGTTTCCCCAGACAAGCTGGAGGATGTGGCCTCTCTGTTTAGGATGCTGCCCCCACGACCTGGTCCCAAGTGTAAGAAAATAGTTGGACGCATGGACTTCAATGTTAAACACAGTTATTATATAATCATCCAGCGTCCACAAGCTCAATATAAATGAAAGTTTATACTTTACCATTTTCAGAGTTTTCAGACCTTCTGATTATCTCATAGCCACAACGATCACCTGCAGGTCAGAGAAAATCAGTCACCTCATGTCTGTGATGTTATTTTAAAAAACAAATATTATTGAAAATAACATTTATATTAAAAGCTGCAGCAGATTTAATAAGTACAGTCTTGTTGCAAACAGCAGCAAAATATTATAACTGGATGAAAAACTAACCAGCAAGAAGAGAGGAGTACACTTGCTGCTGATGGTGTTGATTAAACATCTGCTCATTAACAGCACCTTTATTAAAAATGTAGAATAAGACTTTTGCTTTTAAATGAACCTCATGATGCATTTGTGTCTTTGAAGGATAAAGAGTTTGTGTTAAGTAAAGGAAAAGGTCTCACTGTTGGATGTTGTGCAGCAATACAACAAGAGCAGGAGAATAATAATGAGAGAGACTCCACAAACCAGTCGAACAGTCAACCACACAGGAGATGAAGAGCTGTCAGCTCCTGACATGGTTACTGTAACAACAAATAGCAATTAATTATTAATAAATTATAATCTTATAAACAAATGCATTTATAAAATAGAGCCAAGTGACTTTGAGACTTAAATCAGACAATCTAATGTTCCTTCTCAGTCATTAAACTCATTTACAAAATCCATCAGATGTCTTGATCCTGCTCACCTTTAACTGACATCCAGCTCTGTGCTGACTCTCTTCCTGAGTACTGACACTTGTAGAAACCTTCATCAGACTTTGACACTGCAGAGATCTTCAGCTCCCCTCGGGGATCATTTTCAATAAGTTTGTCATTGTGATAGAAAAACACATTGGAAAGTATTTTTTGTGTTCTCAAACTGCAGCTCAGACTAACAGAAGCTCCCTCAGTCACAGGATGAACAGGACTCACCAGGATAGAAACATTACCATCATCTGTGACACAATCACACACAATTGTTTCAGTCACATCAGCTGCTGCACACTTTTAGAAAAAGCTGACAAACAATAATAAGAACAGATTGTACAAATGTTCATCATGAAGATCTGATCTTCTATGTTTAAAAACTGCTGTATGTGTTTTATTTTTCCCACATGAAATGACTTCACATACAGCAAAGCTGGGACAAATGTTCATGTGACGTTTAAATCATTAACATCCAAGAAGTAAATGTATAATAACATACTCTGTACAGTGATGTTGACTGCACTGCTGAACTCTCCTGATCCAGACTCACACCAGTACACTCCAGTATCTGACTTTGATGTGTTGATGTCACATGTGGATCCAGTCATTCTCCTACAGTCAGAGAGTCGGCCGTCCTCAGAGAACTTCCTCACTCTCCACTCAGGGAAGTTTCCCTCACAGGTCAGTGAGACAGAGTCAGAGGTGAAGTGTTGCACTCTGTCAGGACTCACTGTGAGAGACGCTGCTGAATGAACATCTGGAAACAACATGCAGTGAACAGACAAAGCTCACAGATGTTAGCATTCAAAATATCAAATTAATATTAGAAAAAAAAATGATGAGCTGAATCTTGGTGGTTTACAGTGATGACACAACTTATTAAACAGAAACAAACTGACCTGCAGACCAGACAAACTTTGGTTGACTGTGATCAGTGTGATACTCTGGGTCTCCTCTTCCAGCTCTGCACACATATCCTGCTGTGTGTGTCTGTCCATGAATGATGTAGGAGTCCTGTGCAGTCCCACTGCCATCAGGTAGCAGCTCATAACTGGAGGATTTCTCTGATAGATCAGGAACAGCTTTATACCAGTAGAAGCTCCGTTCTGCAGACGGATGTTCAACCTCACAGTTCAGAGTTACTGAGGCTCCAGGACTCAGCCATGATGGAGACACAGTGAGGACAGGACGGGGTTCATCTGTTCAACAAAGATTTTCTCTCAATCTTTCATCTCTTAACTCTGAATTCAATGTCACTAAAATGTTGACTCACAAATATTTATGATGAACTTTAAGAGTGAGACTATCTAAACATGTCAAATATCTCAACATGTACTAATAAAAACACATTTTTACAAACTGTTTCTATTTCCAGGTTAAATGAACTATGACTCTACTTACTGTCAGAAACTGTCAGTGTGACTGAATCACTCCACTCTGTTGTTTCATGCTGTGAACTTTTCATTCTGCCCTTACAGCGATAGTTTCCACTGTTGGATGATGAAGCAGATCTAATCCTGTATTCATTTTGATTTGGACCTTTTATCATGCTGTTTGTTTCCCACTCATAATCCCACTCAGTGTCTCCTCCATGGATCTCACATCTGACAGTGATCGTCTCTCCTCTGTGTATCTCAGACCAGTTTGGATACAGAGTCACAACAGGCCTGTTTGAGGCTGTTACTGTTCAAGAAAGTACAATAAAAACACATGAATGTCAAAAATGTTAATGCCTTTTGTTCTTCATCTTCCTCCTTAATCAGGAATTTATCTGACTTCATGTTAAACTCACCAGTTTTCCCAATCCTGACTGACTGGCTGTCCTCTGTGTAGTAAACTGGGTTTCCTCTTCCTCCTCTGCACCTGTAGAGTCCTTCCTGTGAGACACTGATTTGTCCATTTGAGTGGAAAACTGCATCTTGTGTGTTCAGGGCTTCAGAGGATTTCTCATCTCTGTACCAGTAGTATTTCCATCCAGATGATGATGATGGGCTCACAGAGCAGGTCAGGGTCACACTGCCCCCTACTGGAACAGCTGTGTTATCAGCGCTCAGTTTGGCCTTTGGTTTATCTGCAGTTCAGTTTAGACAAAGAACAAAAGTCAATGACTGAATCAAACCAGTTGAAATAACTTGGTGGAAATATGTAAATAATAAATATCACATAACTTTAATGGTGAAGCTGCAACAAACTGTACAACTATCACACAAACACAACACTAATCTTTCATATTTAATTTGCTGCATTTCTAAGTTAAAAACACACACGAGGAACAATCAGTGGATTTAATGTTTCTTAGTGGATGTGGTGGAGCAGCTGAGACAGATCCAGCATTTGTTCTGCATTTCATCTTTCATGTATTAGAGCTGCACAGCAGAGAAGTTACTCTCATATGTTTTGTTCTCTTCACTGTGAATAAAAAGCTGCTGTTCAGGTTTTTGTTGTTGGAATAAAAACTAAACATTTTACTGACCAACATGAAAGACAGTTATAAAGCTGTAAGAAAGAAGAAGTGCTTTTTCTTATTTAGATACTCTGGATGAAAGATCTTACATGATACAGTCAGTGTGATGATATCACTCCACTCTAAGAAGAAATAGTCCCTTCTGCCCCGGCAGCTGTATCCTCCACTGTCAGACTCAGTAGCTCTGATGATTCTGTATTCATTGGATGTTGGAGGTGTGTTTAACTTGGCTGCTCTCCATTCATACGTCCACTGAGCTCCTTCACCTCCCTGAATCTCACATCTGACAGTGACTGTCTCACCGCTGTATATCTGAGGCCAGGATGGCTGCAGGGTCACAGTGGGCTTACTGGGAACTGTTCACAGGAAAATATCCAGTTAGAGACAAATAGAAACATAAAAATTCTGATGTTTAAAACATGAGAGTAACGTGAGTGAAAAAAATCAACCTCAAACAGGCTACAGGGTTAAACCACACCTCGGGCCAGTCTGACCACAGGTAACTGTTTTTGATCACGGCCACATCCCACTTTGTAAAATTGCTACAATCAGCACAAAGACAGTCAAAACCAGGCCAGAGGCAGGACTGCTTCATCAGGATGCACTGAGATATTTTCAAACACCCTGACCTGTAGCTGGTTTTTGATAGCATACTGTGCTACATGAAGAACTGTATAGCACAGCTGCACAGACTAAAGAGCTCCACATGGTAATACAGGTCACCCAGAGGATAGTCGGCCATCCTTTGCCCTCACTTGAAGACCTGCACAGCTCCCGCAGTCTCAGGAACACGAAGAAAATCCTTCAGGATCCATCTCACCCAGGTCATGCACTGTGTGAACGTCTACCTTCAGGCAGACATTTCAGAGCCATAAAGACAAAAACTAACAAACTAAGGAACAGCTTTGATCCCTCAGCCATCACCATGCTGAACGCTGAACAATCAGATCCAACACAACTCTCAGTGTTTACATAGTTACAGCACAGTCTCATGTTTACACCTGCAGGTACGGCTGGTATTTACATCAACACTGTAACAAAGAAACATTTGTTTTGTTGTTTGTTATTAAAACAAAATCTGAAACTTTTCACTGCAAGGTCTCATTTTTCTTATTTATTTTCTTATTTAAGGGTTAATAAACTCACAGCTATATGACCTCTCAGTCTGGTAGAAATAAAATAATTAAACTCACGAGTTTCTCTAACAGTGACGTCACTGCTGTCCTCTGTGTAGTAAACTGGATCTCCTCTCCCTCCTCTGCAGTGGTACAGACCTCCTTGTGGGACACTAATAACTCTGTTTGCTTCATTTCCTCTCATGAGCTGAGCTTTAGAAGAGACTGAATCACGTCTGAACCAGTCAAACTTCCAGCCAGCAGAGCCCTCCACAGAGCAGCTCAGTGTCACACTGCCCCCTGCTGGTATGACTGAACTTTGTGCTGTCAGTGTGGCTCTGGGTTTACTTGCTGTTGAAGAAACAAAATAAGTAAAACATTAAATCATTACCAAGAATACTCTTGTCACAGTACTGATCAAACTTTAAACATTCGCTGAGTAATTAATCTAAAAACATAAAAAGAAATTGGTAATCCTTCATGTAGTCATGGGAGTAGAGAACTGGATCACAGTAGTCCCAGTCCTGGGAAGTGTTAGTCCACTTGCTTATTAATCCTGTTCATTGGTTCTTGCACTCTCGCTACGATCAGCTGATTCCAGTTTGTATCAAAGGAGTAAAATGGTGGTGCAGAAATTACTTTTATTGTTACTGCACAAAGGATGGAACGATGGTAAAGTGGAGACTGCTGCAGGACAGAAACAACTGCATTAACGTGATCAACTGTTAACACAACTTCAGCTCTTCAAAGTACCTGCACAGACAGTACGCTAACACTAAGCTAGCCAATAACCCAGAGTGATGAATTTCAACAGGTAAGAAACTGATGAGCAGTCAGGCTGCAGCTCCGTTTCTACCTGTTCATGCCTCTACTGTAGAATCACCATGACAACCGATGTAAGGTCTCTTTGTGCTGATTTTGTGTAAGAATTTTTTTGCTTTACTTTTTTCCAGTAATGATCCCAACAAAGAGGGGAAATACCTCCAACATGCACAAACATTTGACCTCACAGCCTCTAATTTGCATGAATGTCTTTGATATTCTGCTTAGAGATGGTGGCGACTCTCAAAGTGGAGCCAATGAGAATCAATAAATTCTTATCAATTCCCATCCCTACCTGCATGTGACACAGACTGTTTAACAAACTAAAGATTTCACTGATTTATCATTCTCTTATCAAACTGTCATCTCTGTACATTCCTCTTTACACTGCTGATATTTAAGAGCCTCCATGGTGTCTCTCCTTTCTGTTTGCACAGTGAGAAAAACTGTTGTCCTGAGCTGCCTGCAGACAGCTGGATCATTGTTGGAGTTTTCCTGTTAAGACAGATGTAAACATGAAAACATTAAATGTCAGCATGAATCATGGTCCAACTCACATGAAACTGTCAGTCTGAAGGCATCACTCCATCCTGTGAAGAGATAGTCACTGCTACCCCGACATCTGTAGTCTCCACTGTGGGACACTGAAACTCTGCTGATCCTGTATTCACTGGATGTTGGAGGGCTGTTTGTGTTGGGTGCTGTCCATTCATATTTCCACACCTTTCCTTCACCTCCCTGAATCTCACATCTGAGAGTGATTGTCTCACCAGTGAATATCTGAGACCAGCTGTGCTGCAGTTTCACAGCAGCCCAAACTTTCCCTAACAAACAAATAAACACAAATATTAAACTGAAAAATCATAAATAATATTTATAAAGTGTTACTTTAATTTAATCATGAATTTGCGTTTTATTTCACAACAAAACTTAACCCTCACCTTGTGTCTGAATTGTAACTGGAGCACTGTCCTCTGTGTAGTAAACTGGATCTCCTCTCCCTCCTCTGCAGTAATAGATGCCTCCTTCTGAAATACTGATCGTGTGCTCTGATGTTCCAGCTCCTATTTTGTGAGCTCCAGAAAACTGTGAATCACGTCTGAACCAGTCAAACTTCCAGCCAGCAGAGCCCTCCACAGAGCAGCTCAGTGTCACACTGCCCCCTGCTGGTATGACTGAACTCTGTGCTGTCAGTGTGGCTCTGGGTTTACTTGCTGTTGTGTTTACAGGGAAAGGTTTATCAGATTGTCACTTGCTTCAGGAAGAACTTTGTTATAGTAATGATCACACTTTACACATTCACTCAGTCATTTAGCTTCTAGCACCAAACAAAAAATATTTGCCTGCATGTGACACATTAGACCAGGGTCGGCAGCATGCGCCTCTTTAGTCCTTGTAGTGCGGCTCCGCGTGGTTTGGGAAAATAAATTAGAAGTATTTAGTTGAAGTGTTTTTTATTTATTTAGTTCTTTTTTAACTTGTAGTTCTAAATTGGAAGATTATTGTGATCTTAAAATATAAAAATACAATTCTATTCTATTATTTTTTCATCGCTCAAAATAAGCGTCATACCCGCTGAAATGACATGCATTTATCGAGACTTTCAACCCCAGGTAGGCCAATTATGGATCTTCGGATCCACATTATGTCAGCAGCTATTCTCCTCCGTGAACTATGTTAAAAACAAACACCACTCACAGATGACAGCTTACAGTCCTGCGTAAAGTTGAAAGCCCTGATTTGCAGATGCTGTGCGCAGAGGTTCAGGAGCAGAAGTCCCATTGTAAACATACCATGAACACGCTTTACAGCTTCTCTTTATTGACCACTTTTCACACACGGTTGCTGTACGCATACAGCCGGCTGTAGCTTTTCAGCTCACAGCCCGACACACACCAACAACAGCATAGAGAGCACAGACGTTAAGACGGCGAGGCGTGATTGCGGGTGTCGCTCAGGTGCCTCCCCTGCAGCAGCGCTTCAGACCACGCCCCGCCAGACCACACACATTGACCAGGTAAAATACATATTTAGGCAGAATTTTGCAAATACCTATTTTTCATCTTTTAGCAGCATAGTGCTTTGTTTCCAATCATTTTTTAAAAGTCAGGTCAAGGCTCCAAAAGCCCAAAGGTGATATAAGGCTGGCGGCTCAAAACAGTTTTTGTTTGCTACACGGATCATTTTAGTTCAGCTGGGTGTCTTTCCTTTTGTTATATTTCTTTAAGAGTTCAAAATGTGTTCATTATATAAATAACATGTAAGTTTCTCTGTAGCACTTCATGGATTTCATAAGCAACACACCTTAGTTGTTCACACAAAGCATAAAGGTAAAAAACAATATATACAGTGTTATCTTCATTTTAGATGTCAACAAGTATTTGCGGCTCCCAGTGTTTTCTTTTGCGTGGAAATTGCGTCCAAATGGCTCTTTGGGTGTAAAAGGTTGCTGACCCTGCATTAGACTGAGTGTCTTCATACAAAACTGCACTAAATTTCTGTACTTTTAGGTGACAGAAGGAGACATGTGGCCTGGTCAAAACACAGAGAGCTGCACTCTAAAAGATCTTTAAATATAGTAAACATACCTTGTGTGCCACAGACTGCTCCCAAACACGAGGGGACAAGTAATACCTCTAAAACACTTAAGTTGGCTTTATTAAACGTTAGATCTTTAGCTGGGAAAACATTTTTAATTAATGATTTAATCACTGAGCACAGCCTTGATTTTATGTTTTTAACTGAAACTTGGTTGGACCAAAATAACAGTGGAGCTGTTCTCATCGAGACGACCCCTCCTAAATACAGTTTTATCAGTGAGGCCAGGGTGAGCAGGAGAGGAGGAGGGGTTGCTGTCTTATTTAATGAATCATTTCAATGTAAGCAGCTATCTCCTGGAAGTTTTCAGTCTTTGAATATGTGGCTTTACAGCTGAAGGCCCCATCCAAAGTTGTGTTTTTAATGTTTACAGGCCTCCCAAATACTGCACAGACTTTTTTAATGACCTCAGTGAACTGCTGTCTGTGATCTGTGTTGATTTCGACTGTGTAATTATTGTTGGGGATTTTAACATCCATGTGGACAACCCTCAGGACAAAGGGACTAAAGACCTGAGTAACACTCTGGGCAACTTTGGGCTGACTCAGCATGTAACAGAGGCCACACATAACAGAGGACACACTCTTGACCTACTGATCTCCAAGGGCCTGAGCATTTCAAAGGTCACTGTGTCTGATGTGGGCATGTCTGATCATTACTGTGTTTTTTTTGAAAGTAAAATCTCAGCCCACACAAATATATCAACAGCAGTGATCACAAAACGGTGTATAACTGAAGACAGTAGTGAGATCTTTAACCAGGTCTTCCCATTAACACCTGACCTGTCCAAAGGTTCAGTCAATGAGCTCGTCAATAGCTTTAATGCAAAAATGTTAAATGTAATGGATACTATTGCCCCCATTAAGGTGAAGGTTATCTCTGGAAGGAAAAAGTCTCCATGGAGAAACTCCACACTAGTGAAAAATGAAAAAAGAGAGTGTAGGAAAGCTGAGCGCAGATGGAGAAAAACAAACCTCCAGGTTCATTATGACATCTATAAAGAGAAACTTCACAATTATAATTTACAACTGAGGAGTGCAAGAAGGTCCTACTTCTCTGACATCATCACTAAAAACAGCCATAATGCTCGGGTCTTATTTTCTACAGTTGACAGGCTAACAAACCCTCCTGTGCCAGTGGCAGCTGAACTTCATTCAACCATGGCCTGCAATGACTTTGCCAAATTCTTCACAGACAAAATCCAAAA